CAGCATTTTAGGGACTGCAACAGGAGGATCATGAGTTCAAGATCAGTCTGGGCTACATCATAATGAGACCCTGTCTCAACACACACACACACACACACACACATACACACACTGAAAGTTTTAAAAAGAATAAAGTAAATTTTTTCTGAATGAGTATGTGTCTGTGCGGGGATTGAGGTGTGGCGAAGAAGTATAGTCAAAAAGAGATTTAGTATTTGATACAATGAGGAAGAAGAAACAGTATCAAATAATAACAACTACCATTTAGGGGTCCATATTATGACAAACACATTGTGAAGTGTTTTACACAACATTCTATTTACATTTCAAAGCAACCCAGTCATGTTTTAATTTACATTTCTCTAATAACCAGCAATGTTCAGCATTTTTATGTATTTATTGGCCATCTGCATTTCCTCTTCTGAGAAGTGTCTATTCACTGTCGTGGCCCATTTTTTATTGGGTCATTTATTTTGGAGGGGGTCTAATTTTTTAAGATTTTTTATATTCTAGATGTTACTCTTCTGAGGGTTTTCTGGAAAAATTTTTTTCTTATTCTGTAAGTTATCTCTTCACTTTGTTGGTTGTTTCCTTTGCTGCACAGAAACTCTTTATCTTTTTCTTTCTTTTTCTCTTGCTTTTTTTTTTTTTTTTTTTTTGTGGTACCAGGGATCGAACTCAGGACCTTGTGCTTGCCAGGCAGGCACTTATGCTACTGAGCTATATCCCCAGCCCCTCTTTAATTTAATATATTCCCATTTGTTGATTCTCAGTATTATTTCTTTTCTCATTGGGCTGCTGTTCAGAAAGTTCTTGCCTACACCTATGTCTTTGAGAGGCGTTCCTATTTTCCAGCAGATTAAATGTTTCTATTTTAATATTTAGATTTTTTTATCCATTTGATCTTACTCCAGAAGGAATGACCATCATCCAGAAATCAAATAATAACAAATGCTGGCAAGGCTGTGAGGAAAAGAGGAACCTTTCTATACCATTCGTGAGCATGTAAGCTAGTACAACCACTATGGAAATCAGTATGCAGATTCTGCAAAAAACTAAAAACTAGAAATTCCATTTTACCCACCTATTCACCTTGTAAGTATCTTCCTGAAAGAGGTAGAGACATCATATTACAGAGATACATGCACACCCATGTTTATAACAGCACCATTCATAACAGCTAAATCTTGGAAGTAGCCTATATGCCCATCAATAGATGAATGGATAAACAAAGTGTGGTATTGACACACAATGGCATACTACTTTGCCATAAAGAAGGATAAACTTGAGGCATTTGTACGTAAATGGATGCACCTGAAGACCACAATCTTAAGTGGAATATACCAGATAAATGAGTGTCAATATCATGCGATTTCTCTTATATGAAAAACCCAAAATATAAATAAAAAGCAAAATAAAGCAAAAATAATAGGAAACAGAGGGATCTTTTTTCAAATAGGAAGGGGAACAAAAAATGGAGGGACAGGGAAGAAAAGAAGGAAAGGAAAGGGTACTTAAAATATAGAAACAAAGAAAAAATGGAAATAGAATTTTTTCAAATGGGAAGGGGAACAGGAGCTGGAGGGAGCAGGGAAGGATGAGAGGAGAGGGGGATAAGAAAGAATTAACCTGTGCTGTGTGCGTGGATAGACTCCCCCTGATAAATGTAATCATTATGGACCACAAACACTTACTAATATGGACTTTAAAGCCCAGTGAGATAAGTGTGTGTGCACCCATTTTGCAGATGAAGAGGCTCACCAGTGGCAGGGCTCATAAGTGGCCAAGTTCCAGGGAAGAGAGCCTGATGCCCTCCCTCTGAACCACCACTAGAAACTGCTCTCCTAGAGCTAGAGATGAGAAAAGAGAGGAAATTGGTTTATGGTGTGGCAGAGGGCTTGGAATAAAACATAAAGAACTTTCTGACAATGAGGGCTGTTTGGTTGTAGTCAGGGTAATTAGGCTTGTTAGAGCTTTTCCTCTGAGGGCCTTTACATTGAAGATGAATGGATGCCTCTATGCCTGGGTGGTTTCAGGGACAGGCTCTCTGTTCCCAGCACGAGGCTGGCCTACTTGAATTAACTGACAACCTTGCTGGGGACACAAGACTGCCACACATGAAACCGTTAGATAACAGGAAAAGATACAGCAGGATGTATGCCCAAGTGGGACCGGAAATAAGCAAGGGTTCTAGACACGCAGATGCTGCTGCGGTTTAAAGCCAGGGCTTTGTGGTCAGGCAAGGTCCCTGGGTCCTTGCTGGCTCTGCTACCTTTTGACCTTGGGTATATTACTTAACTTCACCAAGCTTGGGTTTCTTAGTCAGTAAAAAGAGGCTAAGAATAGAACCTGCTTTGGAGTGTGGCCATGAAAATTAAATAAGATGATCCATGTAAAATACTTGGCAGAGAACCTGGGCATAATAAGAATACAATGAACAGTGGCTGCCACAGGAATAATTGTTGGAGTCCAGAGGCAGGAGATGGCAGGCGGAGGTACAGGTCTGCAGGTAACTGAGAAAGTCTTTCTGGGAAGCCTGAATTTTGTCCTGGATCTTGAAGACTTGTTAAGGTTAATTCAGACGGAAAGAACAGTGGCAGAAATAGATAGGGTTTGCAGAATGGAGTGAGATTTCAAATTCTCTACCATCTTAAAAGAAAAATCTGGTGGATTATTATTTCTTGTTTGGGTTTTTTGTTTGTTTTGTTTTGTTCTTGAGACAGGGTCTCGCTACATAGTCCAGGCTGTCCTTAAACTCCTGATTCTCCTACCTCAGCCTCCCAAGTATTAAGAGAAAAATCTAGTTTGATCTGTGGTTGAAGTAGAGAAAGAAGGTGATTGTGGGGAAGTGTGGAGGAGAGATGAGCTCTTCCATCTTTGCTTCCAAACCCCAAACTGAATAGAGACAAAGCCTGAGAAGTGTAAAAGAGAAATCAGACATCCAAGGCTCATTTGCCTGCTTCTGGGTTTCTATTGTAAAATGGCCAACGGGGAAGGGTCAGGTGCCTGGGAACCTGGCTGAGGGCAGAGCCTTCGCAGGAAGCGGAGGAAGTTAGGAAATGTGGGCGAAGCCCTTAATGAATGCGTGGGCTGACTCATGAGGGAAGACCCAGGTTGAAGACTGCATTCACGGCTCATATCATGTCAGGCAGGAGGCCAGCTTAGAGACCCTCCGCATCTCTAAGTTCCTGTCCTGCCAGCTCAGGGTGAGTCCCTGGGGGTGCAATCCTTAGGCTAATCCAATTGTTCTCTAGCACCCTGCCTCATCTTCCCAGCGTAAAAATCAAGTCCTCAGGGACCAAGTGGTTCCCCGGGGAAGACGCTGGTTATTTTAGATCTTCTGTGCCTAATTTCTGTCAAGGACCAAATGTCAACCCCTGCATCAAGCACTACATGGGCTCTTGGTAATGTCAATTCTCTGTTCTTTCCCCTAGCGGCTGATTCAGTAAATTTAGAGATGCGACAATCTGTGTCTTTAACAACCAGTCAGACGATTCTTTAGGTAAGGCAAATTTGGAAAACCCTGAGACTCTCTTACATCCCTTTCAGCCCTGAAGTTAGCCCCTAGAATGTAATGTGAAGGGCCTTGTGTAAGTGCTGCGGACTTACACTGCTAGCCCTGTAGCCCGCAGGGCCCTGTGCTGCCGACCATAGCAGGAAGAAGGCTACAGAGCAAAAGGGGTTCGCGCATCGGCTAATATCCTAAAGAGAACAAGGGGACCTAGAACAAACAGAAGTGAAAATGGCCACAGAGAACAATGGGTTCTGAGCGCGGTTCTGTGGTCTTCTCTTACACCGTCCTCGAAAAACAGTGTGGGCATCAGCGCACACACAAGGACACGCAACTGCAGAGTTTTAACACAGGTCCAAAGTAACACAGCAAATCAGAAGGCAGGAACACACACCTCCCAGTCTTCACCCTGCATATTGTTGGGGTGCGCGGCAAAGTAGGCACATCTTCTTGAAGGGGTGAGGGGGACAGCGTCCCGGTGGTCTGGCATCTAACATTACCCAGAGGAAAGGCCCTGAACTGAGAGTCAAGACCCAAGGGAAAAGGAAAGCTTCTCCTTCGGAGGGGTTTACAAAGCGTGGCCCCCTGTGATGGTCTCACTTATGAGTTCTCACACTTGATGGGCGAGAGTCGGTTCCGCTCCCTGGCCTAAGGCAGGGGAAAGGCGGAGCGCGAGACGAGGTCTGACTTTGCAGCTGCTTTTGAGAAGTTCGCTGTGTCAGAGAAACTAGAAGACCAAACCAAACCCCTAAAAATCCAAGCCCGATTACTGCATCCACGTGGCACAAGAACAAGCCAAAAAGGAGAGGAGGGTCGGGCCGGGAAGAGTTACCCGACCCGCCCCTGTTGGGAGAGAGGGATTCGTCGGGAGAGCAAACTCCTGACCCAGCCTGGGCCGCCGACGGGGCGCAGCGAGGAGGGCGGGACCCCGAGACAGCCCTTTTCCCACAAAGCCCCGGAGCCGGGGTCCCCGCCCGCCCGCCCCTCCCGCGAACCGCCAAGGGCCCTTTAAGGGCCGAGAGGTGCGCGGTCTCTTTAAGGCAGGTCCCGGTGGTTTCTGTTTTCTGAAGGAAGTGACGGGGGGTGGGATTGAATGAAAAGTGCAAAACAGAGTCGGGAGCTGCGGAGTCGGGGGCGCCGGGGCAGCGGCGCTGAGCGGGGAGCGGGGCCTGGCCGGGAGCGCCG